TTACTCCCCACAGGTACTACTTCACAACTTACAAAGCTGGAGACTTTGGAGCAGTGAAGATGGGTAATTCCAGTTCATCTGAAATAGCTGGAATTGGTGATGTACAAATAAAGACGAGTTCTGGGAGCACAATCACTTTGAAGGATGTCAGACATGTTCCAGACCTTCGTCTCAATCTCCTGTCAGTGGTATGTCTTGACGAACAGGGATATGAAAACCACTTCAACAGAGGCACCTGGAAAATGTCAAAGGGCGTTTTGACAATCGCTCGAGGACATGTTTGTGGCACATTGTACAAAACCCATTTGAGAATTTGTACGGATAGCCTCAACATTGCTGAGGAGACTTCTCAGAATCTGTGGCACCTGAGACTCGGCCACATCGGTGAGAAAGGGTTGAATACCTTGATCAAGAAGAGCCTTATCAACATCGACAAGAATGCTGCACTGGGTCCTTGCAGTCATTGTCTGTTTGGTAAGCATCATAGAGTATCATTTAATTCTACTTCAGCTAAAAGATCAGAGTTGTTAAGTTTGGTACACTCCGACGTCTGTGGTCCTTTCGAGGTGGAATCAATCGGTGGAAGCAGATATTTTCTGACTTTTATTGATGATGCTTCTCGGAAAGTGTGGGTGTATTTCCTGATTACGAAAGATCAGGTATTTGAGTGCTTCAAGACATTTCACGTCTTGGTGGAACGTGAAACGGGAAAGAAGCTGAAATGTCTCCGATCTGATAATGGAGGCGAGTATACTTCTAAGGCGTTCGATGCATATTGTAGAGAATATGGCATTCGACATGAGAAGACAGTACCAGCACCCCTCAGCACAACGGCGTTGCTGAAAGAATGAACCGGACTATCATGGAGCGTGTCCGGAGCATGCTGAATATGGCTAAGCTTCCGAAGTCATTCTGGGCAGAAGCAGTCAACACCGCATGCTATCTTATCAACCGATCACCTTCAGTACCACTGAACTTTGAAGTTCCAGAGAGACTATGGACAGGTAAGGATCCTACATACTCACATCTTAGAGTATTTGGTTGTTCATCATATGCACATGTATCCAAAGAGCTCAGGCAGAAGCTCGATGCAAGAACTATCCCATGCATTTTCGTTGGATACGGAAATGAAGAGTTTGGATACAGGTTATGGGATCCTAAGGAGAAAAAGGTGTTCAGAAGTAGGGACGTTGTGTTCCACGAAGATTTGACAATAGAAGACATTGAAAAACCCACAATGTCTCGGAAGTCAAATGAGGGTGCTCAAGTTTCAAATGAAGCACCAGAAGAGGGCGAAGTGCATGAAGATAACTCAGAAGCAGCCGAAGAGGAGGAAACAGAAGAGAGTGCAGAGCAAGGGGAGACACAATCCACCCCGCCAGACACAGATGATGGTAGCTCTTCTCAGATGGTCCCTACTATTCGTAGATCTGAACGAGGGCATATAACATCGACAAGGTACACATCATCTGAATATCTTTTGTTAACTGAAGATGGAGAACCAGAGAGTTTTCAAGAAGCTGTATCTCATAAGGATAAAGAAAAATGGCTAATAGCAATGCAGGATGAGTTAGAATCTTTGCAGAAAAATCAAACCTATGAGATCGTAGAACTTCCCATAGGGAAGAAAGCTTTGAGGAACAAATGGGTGTTCAAGCTGAAGAAGGATGCAAGTGGACAAGTGGTGAAACACAAAGCTCGGTTGGTTGTCAAAGGATTCCAGCAGAAGAAGGGAATTGACTTTGATGAGATCTTTGCACCAGTTGTCAAGATGACCTCAATCCGAGTTATACTTAGCTTGGCAGCAAGTATGAACTTGGAGCTTGAACAGATGGATGTCAAGACAGCATTTCTTCACGGAGATTTAGAAGAAGAAATCTATATGCATCAACCGGAAGGTTTTGAGAACTCAAATGATAATTTTGTGTGTAAATTATCTAAGAGTTTGTATGGTTTGAAGCAGGCACCAAGGCAGTGGAATAAAAAGTTTGACTCATGCATGAAGAGTCAAGGCTACAAGAAGACTACTGCGGATGAGTGTGTATACATCAAGAAACTTCCAGACGGTACTTTCATTGCTCTTCTACTATATGTAGACGACATGTTGATCGTTGGGAAAGATGCAGTGAAGATAAAGCAGCTGAAGAAAGAACTCTCTAAGTCTTTTGATATGAAAGACTTAGGACCGGCTCAACAGATTCTTGGGATGCAGATCACTCGAGATAGGAAGAATCGCAAGTTATGGCTATCTCAGGAGAAGTACATTGAACGAGTACTTGAGAGATTCAACATGAATGATGCCAAACCAGTAAGTGTTCCACTTGCGAATCACTTCAAGTTGAGCAAAAGAACATGCCCTACATCCAAGGAAGAGATCGGGGAGATGTCAGCAGTTCCATATTCTTCAGCAGTTGGGAGTTCGATGTACGCCATGGTATGCACAAGGCCAGACATCGCACAGGCAGTGGGTACAGTGAGTCGTTTTCTCTCTAACCCCGGGAAGGAGCATTGGGAGGCAGTCAAATGGATTCTCAGGTACTTGAAAGGTACCACGAAGTTATGCCTTTGTTACGGAGGAGCTGATCCAGTCTTGGAAGGCTACACAGATGCTGATATGGCCGGAGATACTGATAGTAGAAAGTCTACTTCAGGATATATTTACACTTTTGCAGGGGGAGCCGTTTCTTGGCAATCAAGATTGCAGAAGTGTGTCGCTTTATCCACAACAAAAGCAGAATACATTGCTGCCGCTGAAGCAGGTAAGGAAATGTTGTGGCTAAAGCGCTTTCTCCAAGAACTTGGGATCCAGCAGAAAGAGTACAAGGTACATTGTGACAGTCAGAGTGCTTTAGACTTAAGCAAGAACTCCATGTACCATTCTCGTACAAAGCATATTGATGTTCGGTATCACTGGATACGAGAGACGATTGATCAACAACTGTTGAGACTAGTGAAGATCAATACAAAGGAGAATCCATCAGACATGCTGACGAAGGTGGTGACACGGGATAAGCTAGAGCTGTGCAGAGACATAGTCGGGATGCTTGTTTTGAATATGCCTGGAAGGGGAGAATTGAAGAATTCAATTTCCAGGTCATATCCAAGTACAAGCAAATTGAATAATCCAATTCATAGCTTCCATGAAGCTTCCTCCATGTGCAAGAATGACAAGGGGAGCTTCCTCAACCACCATTGAAGCTTCCTCATGTTCCATTGAAGCTTCCTCCTAGCTTCAACACATCTTCCTCCCACCTTCATACTACCTTGTTTTGGTACTATAAATAGAGAGCTTGGAGAGTCTTTCTATCATCAAGCAATTTAGATCATAGATTAGAATACCACAACCAAGTTTGAGTTGTGAATATCCTTGAGAGATATGTGAGGTGTTTTGAGAGTTTTTAGTTAGAGCTTGTATGTCTCTTCTTTCTATTCTTGAAAGTAATAGAAGTGTTTTTCTCTCATATTAGCACGATCCTGTTATTCCCAACAAATATGAAGTTTTATTTTCATAAGGGAAGTGCTAATGACACCATCTAAAGTACTCCCTCCGTCCCAGAATTAACTTCGGTTTTGACTGGGCACGGAGATTAAGAAAGTGGGAAATGTGTGGTGGAGAGTTGTGCAGAGGAGAGAGAAATGTGTAAGAATGGTTGTGAACCACAAATCCTTTGCTAAAAAGGGAAAGAGGAGATAAATTTGGGACGGACCAAAAAGGAAAGAATGAAGATAATTATGGGACGGAGGGAGTAGTTTTTCTTGAAGTAGTTGGTAAGAATCTTTTACATATAATTTATGCAGTTCTTTTTGTTTCATCATTGCAGTTGGTATTTGTGGTTATCTGCCATTTTCTTCTTCTTACGGAATAAAAACGGTATGTAAGTAAAGTCCATGTTTAACCATTTCATTGCTTTTTGAACATATTTTTGAATATGGTTTAATTTGACACGGGATACTTAAAGAGTGTTTGGGTTTGCTTAAAAAAAGCGCTTTTCAGCTTTTGGTTTAAAAAAAGTTAAAAAGAGTGTTTTCAAATGACAGCTTCTGCTTAAATTAATCACTTAAAAGCTAAAATCTGGAAGCAGATAGAAGGATGCTTTAAACTGCTTCTCACCTTTTCTATTACATAAAAAGTACTTATTTTACCAAACAGTACCAACTTTTACGTTTCCAGAATCACTTTTTTCTCAAACACTACCAACTTTTACTATTAATCACTTTCCCAGAATCACTTTAAAAAAGGGAAAAGGTGCAAATAAGCCCTCGAACTAACCGAAAAAGTGCAAATAAGCCCTTTTGTAGGAAGCTCTGTCCGGTCGTCGCCATTTGGGGCGGTTCCAGGTAGAGTTTTTTTATGAAATTTTTTGAGCATCTTCTTCACCAAGTATAGTTTACCCATACCAAATTTTAGCTAAAAATTTAACCGGGAAGGCAACCAAATGATTTTCTGAATTATAATGCACTGTTTAACTGCTCAGTTATCTTCAAACATTTATTTGACTGCCTTTCCAGTTGAACTTTTAGCTGAAACTTGGTATGGGTAAACTAGACTTAATGAAGAAGATGCTAAAAAAAATTCATCAAAATATTCCACTGGGAACCGCCTCAAATGGCGACGGTCGGACAAAACATCCTATAAAAGGGCTTATTCGCACTTTTTCGGTAAGTTCGAGGGCTTATTTGCCCCTTTTTCCCTTTAAAAAATCATTTTTTTAAAGTTGAATCAATTGCAAACACCCCTTTCCCTTAGAATGACTTGAGCTCTTAAATTGACCATATTTATCCATTGGGCATTGCAACGGGCGTGCCCCATGAAAAGATAAAAATGCCCCTCCATTAACAATTTTGTTGACCTTCAACATATTCCTGATTGAGGGTATTTTTTTCTTTTCATATGGGGTTGGGGTGCAAAAACAAAGAGTTTTAAAAACGGGGTGCAAAGTCCTATTTAAACAATAATATGGGGTGCAAACTCAAATTACTTATATATACACACACGTATATCTTCTTCCTCCTGACTGCCTTAAACAAAGGAGATCGGAATTGCCGGTACTTTCGATAAATTACCAACGACGTCGAGTTCCTATTGGTTTAACACTAGATCTGATTTTTAGCTTTCTTCAAGGTTGGATTTCTGATCTTCCGCTTCAATTCAATTTGTCTGCTTCTTTGGTCGGTCTTTCTGTCTCTGTCTCTGTAGAATGTCCCGTTTTCTAAAACCATTATACTATCGTATATCGTAGATGGAAAACAAGAACAGATGCCTTAGTTTATACTGATCCATTTACTTTCCAAATTTTCATAGCCCATCGAATCAAAAGAAGTTTGAGTTTTGCAAGCAAATCTTCAAAAAAAAAAACATGTTTAGAGGCAGGGTGAGTCGATTAAGATTCAAATTAACGTTTTTTTTTGGAGTAAATGGTCAGTTTAGTCCTCGAAGTTGCAAAAAAGGCGTCAAATAAGTCCTTATATAGAAGATTCTGTCCGGACGTGCCATTTGAGGTGGCTCCCGGTGGAATTTTGTGATAATTTTTTTTGAGCATCTTATTCATTAAGTCTAGTTTACTCATACCAAATTTCAGTTAAAAATTCAATCGGGAAGACATTCAAATGAATTCTTGAAGATAACAACGCTTTTACTCAAAAAATTTCATCAAAAAATTCCACCGGGAACCACCTCAAATGGCACGTCCGGAAAGAATTTTCTATATAAGGACTTATTTGACCCTTTTTTGCAACTTCGAGGACCAAACTGACCCTTATCCCGTTTTTTTTTGGCTGGATTTCAAATTAACGTTATCACTATTTTATTTCAAATACTAACACGGTAAATAAGTCGTAACTATACTCATAAGTATTAATGATAACCATAAATTTATCCATCGGTTCTTAATAAAGACGTTTCACACTTCTTTTCCTGAAAAAAGAGTACAATTTTTCAAAGAAACTAATTCCTTATGTTATTTTCCGAAAGAAAAACATCACCATGATTCCATGAAGTTACATATGTCAAATAGTTTTATGTTATAAAATACTAGCAGTTTTTTTTGAGAATTGTTATAAAATAGTTTTACTACGGATAATTATTCATCCACAATTAAAAGTTGTACATCTATTGAGCAAGCCCCTCTTTTGGAGAGAAAAAGTTTGAGTTTTGAAAGGAGAGCTCTTACCTTTATTAAGGGAAAGTTGTGGGCGGTATTGTTTCCAGCAAAATCAATTGAATATAGTCAATATACTATTGTGAATATATAAAGTTTGAAGCTTTATTAGTATATTTGTCGTTTAAAAACCAAAGACTCAATATTCAGTAGATATCAAGCTTTTATGTGGCATGCGTTGAGTTTTTACACAATTAATATGACTTTCTGACTTGGGATATCAAAAGTCCGAAAATTCACCTTGGTTGAAAGGCTCAACTTTTCTTTAGGATTTTGTTTAATTGCATACGTTTTTTTTTTTCATTTGATGAATATTATGGGTAGTTGTAGTATTAAGCACACAAAAATTGGTAGTGCAAGGAAAGCTCCAACCTTTGTTGTGGGAGGGTGCAGGGAGGCTATATCTGGTGAAGTGAAGTTGAATTTTATTGGGAATATAATAATTTTTAATCTCTATGAGTGTCTATCCTTTACAAATTAATAAATCAAGTATCTAGTGCCTTGATTTCTGCGTAATTACAATTGATGTGGCATTCCCCGTCCTTGTTCATGATACACATGAGTTTGTAACTCGGGATATCAAAAGCCTCAAATTTTACTTTGTTTGACTATGTTTTCTGTTTAAAGAAACCACATTTTCTTTAGTGTTGGCTTGAACTTGCATAAGGTTTACTCAATTTGATTATTATTATGGGCTGTTAATTTTTAAGGAAGTAAAAGTTTGAGTCTTGCAAGGACAATTTCAATCTTTATTGTAGTGGGAGGAAGTAATTCTATAAAAAATCAATCATAATAGATTTTGGATAATATATGATGTTTGAACCGTTATGAGTATAGATCGTATTTGTTATTACATACAAATAATCTTTTGATATTAACTTTCCCTAATTAGATACATAGTGGTCATGTGGTAAGCCTAGTAGCAGTTTATAATAAACAAAAGTTTGTAATCCAGCCACCTGGAATAGCAAAGTTCTCCGATTTTAACTGTGACTGACTATGTTTTGCTGTTAAAAAGTCCAAATTTTTAAAAGAGTTCACAGGTATTGCATATATTATGTTATTTATGATTGTTATGGGCAGTTAGTGTTTTGAGCACAGCCAGGTTTGATTCAGTGAAAACATCAACCAGTAATTTGGGTAGGTGGATGACAGCTTTATATAAAGCAAAATCAATTAGAAATTTTAGTGTCAGTATATTAGGTTTGAATCCTTATGAGTTCTCTCTCTTTTGCAAATCAATACACAAATAACTTCTATGGTTTCAATAAACATACTCGTTATGTTGCATGCATGTTACTTTTCCACAGAAAACATAATTTTTTTACCTGGCAGCCATTTTATATATAAAGAGTCTGTAGTTTTAGTTGGTGGGTTGGACTAGCGCTATCGAGGTGAAAAGCCTAAATTTGTTAAAAGCTTTCTAGAACCAATATTATGGGAGTGTGGAGGGCAGCTTTATGAGTAGCTATTTCAGTTAGAAAGTTTAGTGTGCATATTTAAAGTTTGAATCTTTATGAGTTGTGACTACTATCTATAATTTTGTAGGCTAGCACTTTGAGCTTGTTCACTTATTCAAATTGCAGGGTGTGGTAGTAATGGGACGACACTTTGCACATGTAATTTATTCCAAATCTGAAAATGGTAATTCTGGAGGTCTGGGTTTGCACAGAAAGTATTTAAGCTCAGGCAAATCCTACTCAAACGACAATGTTGAAATTACAAGCAATGGCTCTATATGCAGCGGTAAGAGGAAGACGAGGAAGCTTATACGTTCTGGCTTCTCAACTAGAGACAAGCAGAAGCTGAAGCAACATACTTCCTTGACAAGAAATGGAAGAAAAGAAAAACACTCATCTTTCGGAAGGAAAGGAAGTAATAAGTTTGCAAGGATGATTGAAACATTGAATGAAGATGTGATGAGAGAAATTTTACTGAAGTTGCCTTTGTATACTTTGAGCTGCATTAAAAGGTGGGTGGAATTGGCATCTGACCCATCATTCAAGGCTAAATATATGGCCTTAAACACAGTTCTTTTGGGCTTTGCCTATGTGACAGATAACGTAACATTTCTGGCACCTGCAAAATTCATTCCTCTGCCTCATGCCGTCATATGCTTGCCAGAGTATAGTAGTATGTCCTTACGGGAGAACATTGAAGTGTCTTAACTTCAAAAGTTTCGTAATGATGATCGTTTTCCTCCTCAACTACCCAAAAATGATCCTAGATCGTTTCCATCTTATAACGACTTCATCACGTGCTCTTCTAATGGAATCCTCCTGGAGCTTCATCTTCGTAAGGCTTCTTTGTTTTTTTCATTGCATAATCCTATATCTGGACAGTCAGTTCTCTTACCAAGGCCTCCAGCTGGACACATTTTTAATGAGGACATTTATTTCGGCTCTTTAGCTTCCTATGGATTGGCTACTGATTTCTTTCCAAGCCAGCCTCATATTGTTGTCATAGAGTTGTTAGAAGATAATGGGGGTTTGCAAGTCAATTCTTTTTCTTCAAAATCTTGCACTTGGAAATTAAGGCATCACTATGTGCCGCCTACTTCTTATGATGGTATTTGTGACAGAATTATAATATCAGATAGAGGCATTCATCTTAATGGTGTGATATACTGGTGGTATTATCGTTGTGGGTTCTTAGCCTACGATGTTCAACGTGAGTCTTTTGATTTCAGCTTGCTTAACAACACACCCCCTGGTGATTCAGTTGTTGATTCTGATGAGCTTTGCTTCTGTCAGCAAATCAGTTCAAAGTTTCCTGATAGATCGTCATGTATAAATTTATACCCTTGCACATGCCAATTTTTGGGGAAGTCACAAGGAACACTGTGCTATATCAGGGTCGTTGATCATGCCAGAATTTCAACGTGGGCTCATCTTGGGGGTCATTGGTCAAATAGGAGGTGTTACACTCTTCGCGCTCTGCCCATATCTCTCAGTGTTGGTAGGATACTGAGCGTTGATCCGCTGGATTGTGATGTTTTGTACATCAGGCTATCAACAAAGATTGTCTCGTATCATCTAGTGCGTCATGAGCTAAAGGTGATATCCACAATAACATTGAAAAAATTGTCTTTTGAGCGTCTTTATGGCACTGTCGTTCCCATTCTTCCTTATGAAGCACCGAAGCTTCCTGCCTCTCTCCACCCTCGACATCTCTTTTCTTCCTTATTTGGAAACTCTCTCTGTACTGAAGGTGTGTAATACTGTCTCTACATTTTTTTTCTTTGTTCATTTGCTGTTACTTGAAATGGATCATGACTCGCGCTTCTAATTGTTGATTACTTATATACTGTTAATACATAAAGGGTGTCCTTTTTGGGGTTTACCCCCTCACACTAATATACAAGACTCGAACTCTTGCACATTCGATATGAGACACCCTTCGGCCTTGTTTGGGTTGTCCAAACTATCCACAGAGTGACTAGAGGGGGGTGAGGCTAGGCTGGGGGAGTCAGATTTTTAAAGGGCCCATATAAAAAAAATAGCACTCCCTTCGTCCCTTAAAATGTTCATTTTTTATTTTCCCCAAAAACTATCAATTTCCCTTTTAATCAATTAATGTGTGCTTCCTCTTCCTATTCTTTCATTCTTCTCTGTAGTTTTAAGTATTCATTCTTTTAATGGTCAAACTTGACAAAGTTTTAAGTAATGGAAGAGAGTAATATAATTGAAAGGAAATGGAAGCTAGGGAAAGTGAGACGCATGATAGACTTATTTTAATTTCACTAATTCCTTTGTCTTTTATACGTAATATGATTTTAAATTTTTTTTATCACGCATTATTAGTTATATAATACTCCGTAATATTCAGGGTCCTAATTTTTAAATTTGTCTTAATCTCTTGTGTCATTAGTTTATTTGTCTCTTGTGTCAATATTGTTCTATTTTTTTCTTGTTAAATATGGTTTATTTTGTTGTAATTAGCTCCAAAATAATCATAAAAATATGAGATTTACCTCACAATAATGTATTAGACTGGATTTCGGTAAACATCAGATGTGAGAATATGTTGTGGAATTTTGTTTATTCCTGACCTTGCTACTTTCCGCAGTTAAATGTTGGGGCGATGAGTTTGGGAAGTTTATAATATATCCTGATGGACATGTACACGACATGGCAGAATCACAAAGTTCTGATGATGGCTCCCCATGTTGGTTTAAACGTACGTATCTTGAATATCTACTTTTGCTGCTTTAGCCGACTTTATTTAATATAATTTTTTTTTATATAATACCATAGTTTATTATTTGTGTTTTGAAATTTTAAAATTGAGTTTTTTGTCTTGACTTTTAGCCATGATGCCGTTTAATATATATTTCTTGCTTTTGTTTTAATAATACGAGTATTTGGTTTCTCTTATGATGTTTATTAAGATTGTTTAATAGTTTGAATTATATTGGTGATGTTATCACTTTTTGAGAAGAGTGCTTCATGTAAAAGTAGTATAAATATATTTTACCAAAGATATGACGTTAAGATCCGTGAGGCGAGCGCTTCGCCGCCTAGCGCCTCGGGTAAATCAATGAAAACGCCTCGCGCCGCCTCGCGCCTTTTAAAACTGTAAGGCCAATCCAAAGCGAAGTTGCATGGAAACGTGAAAGTAATGGGAAAACGAGAAACGGGAAACGTCAACTTTTGCGAGAAACGGGAAACATCAACTTTTCACGGAGTTTCTGATGAGTTTCCGAGAGTTTCCGTGCTTCATACACCTAGAGTTGAGCAATATCCACCTGATCAAAGGCTAATGGGATGACTTATATATTTATCTCACACTAAGCCTGATATTGGTTTCCATGTAAGTGTCGTAAGCCAATACATGGAATCGCTTCAAACCTACTTCATCTGCCTCTTCTTATAACCTCCATCTGGATCATCCTTCAGTCCCTATCAGTGTTCAGACCTTCATCCACCCTCCCAGCACCCCTGAATCTGAATCCTCAAGTGCTGACTCTGTATCTTCTCAAAACCACCCTCCGAACACATCTCATGAACACCATCCATCTCTCTCTATTACTCAAAGTCAATCTTCCTCTCATGCATCACAATCCTCATCTCGTGAACACCCTCCCAACACATCTCATGAATCACACTCCTCACCCAGCCCTCATTCTTCATCATCTGATTCTCTTCACCAAACTACTCCACCTCCTTCAATCCCTATCATCAATAATCATCCCATGAGGACAAGGGCAAAGTCAGGCATAGTAAAACCAAGACTTCATCCTACGTTACTGTTGGCTCATATTAAGCCTAAATCAGTTAAACAGTGGCTTGAAGCCATGAAGACTGAATATAATGCTTTGATTGCTAATAAAACCTGGACGCTTGTTTCTCTTCCTCCAGAAATGCAGGCTATTGGATGCAAGTGGCTAAACATTCTCTAAACAAGTTCAAAGCCAGATTGGTGGCTAAAGGCTTTCATCAAAAGTTTGGTTTTGATTTTGGGGAAACATTCTCTCTAAATGTGAAGCCTATCACTATCAGAATCTTGCTTACCATTGCTATTTCACACAATTGGTCCATCCAACAGTTAGATGTTAACAATGCTTTCTTGAATGGTGAACTAGATGAGGAAGTGTACATGGTTCAGCCTCCAGGTATTGAAGTTCAAGACAAATCTCTGGTTTGTAAACTTCACAAATCACTATATGGCTTGAAGCAAGCTCCTAGAGCTTGGTTTCAAAAACTAACCTCAGTTCTTTATGCTGCTGGTTTTAAACAAAGCAAATCTGATCCTTCCCTACTCATCTATCTATCCTCTACAGTCCAAATTTACATTCTTATCTATGTTGATATTTTGGTCATCGGGAACAACTCAGCAGCCATTACTCAACTCATTCACAAACTCCATTCCTCATTTTCCCTAAAACACTTGGGAGAGCTTGATTTCTTTCTTGGAATAGAGGCACACAAACTCCCAAATGGCAGTCTTCACCTATCACAGGCTAAGTACATCAGAGATGTTCTAAATCAAGCTGGCATGCTTGAGTCTAAGGGAGTTATGACACCTATGGTGAGCACTTGCAAACTGCAGAAACAAGGCAGTGATTACTACTCTAATCCTTCCCAATATAGATCCATTGTTGGAATGTTACAGTATGCAACTTTGACTAGGCCAGATATCTACTATGCTGTTAACAAAGTGTGCCAATTCATGGCAATACCATTGGAGGAGCACTGGAATGCAGTGAAACACATTCTCAGATATCTTTTTGGAAGTGTAAACCATGGAATTATGATCAGACCTACTTCCTTATCTTCTATACCTCTGCCAATATCAGCCTATTGTGATGCTGACTGGGCATCTGATCCCAATGACATAAAGTCTACATCTGGCTCATGCATACTTCTTGGAACCAACATTATTTCCTGGTGGTCAAGAAAACAACTTAGGGTTGCATTACAAGGTTGTTAAACGCGAGATCCTAGATCGGATCGGGAGGGGAATAGGAGATCGTAACTCGTGGATCGTAACTCGGATCGTAAGATCTTAAAAGCAAAGATACCATGCATATATGTGTGTGTATTTAAACTTATAACTTTTGAAATATGAATAACATAATGTCATTTTTGAATTAAAAGTTTAAAACACTTAGGATAACAAACTTACGATAAATTAAAAAAGACATTTTCAAAACTTTATTGTTCTGTTCTCCCAGGGTCCCAGCCAACTTTGGTTCTCTACCCTGCAGCGTTTTTGTTTGCTATTGACCCACTTGCCATACTTATGCTATGAGAACTTCAGAAGTCAGAGTCACTAGTAACCCCCCCTCCCCCCTCCCCCCCCTTTCTTCTCCTTTAGTAAAGTGGAGTATAAATATTTTGGTAAAGCTAGCGACACAGAAAGATGAAGAATAAGCGGACGACATAGAGAGAACAGAGAACAGAGAAGAGATGAGGACTGAAGAAAAAGACGCTATATTTTATTTTTTTTCAAAGTCGTCGTTTCAGACTTCAACGGCGCCCTTCTTTTCCCGTTTTTTAACCGAGTGGTCGCAGCTCATTTTAGATCGTCGAGTCGTACGTTTTACGATCCTACTCGACGATCTGCCGATCTCAGTGCAATTTCCGATTTTTGGAGCGATCTGACTCGATTCCCCCTCTCCAAATCGCAAACTCGTACGATCTTACGAGTTACCTCGCGATCCTAACAACCTTGGGTTGCAAGATCCTCAACAGAAGCAGAGTATAGGAGTCTGGCAGACACCACTGCAGAACTCTTATGGATTCAGTTTCTATTAAAAGAACTTCAAGTCCCCTTTTCTACTCCCAGAGTATACTGTGACAACCTCAGTGCTGTTCAACTGGCTCACAATCCTGTTTTGCATTCCAGGATCAAGCACATGGAAATTGATCTTTTCTTTGTCAGAGAAAAAGTTCTGCTCAAGCAACTTCAAGTTTATCACATTCTCTCTCTTCATCAGATTGCAGACATATTGACCAAGCCACTCTCTAGTTCCAGATTTCTTGATTTGAAAACAAAACTTAATGTGATTGAGTTGTCAAACCAATCACCCTAATTTTGAGGGGGAATGTTAGATATACATCATGTAATAGACTAGAAGAATCTTCTTAAAGACAGTATACTAGATAGGGGCACGGTTGTTATGAAGTCAGTTAGACTTATAACCAATTGTATAGATACTTGTACTCGGTTCATTTGAAATCAATCTGAAACAGTATTATCTCTTATCTTCTTCTTCTCCTCTCTTTCATCTAATAGTAGTAAATCCTGTCTTCCACTCCCACTCCCACTCCTACAGGAAACATGTCGTCATTGATTTCCATTTTGCCTGACAACATGTGCAACTTTGAGTACCTCATATCCCCTCTGATGATCAATTAGGTGACATTCTCACCAAGCCACTTCCACAACATCGTTTTGTTCTTCTGCATGACAAGGTCATGATTCTTGGCAATATACCTGGCTTGCGGGGCATATAGAAGAGTTTAAAACATTAGTTACATGAGTTACAAAGTCATTAGAATTTTCATTTACAAAACTTTTGAAATTAATATTATAATCAATAGCTTACCTTATTGATCCCTAGAATATTTTATAAATAACATAGCATATCATGTAATGTGTGAAAGCTCTCAATATTTGTGATATATTATAATCTCATAATGATAGGATATTTGTACATACATTAAATATACAATCTGCTAATCTAAACAATAGAATATCCTATTTCTAGAAAGAATAAAATACACAATACTGGTAATTAATACAAAATCAGATCTAAAGTACAACAATAGTTATTCTCTAAATCAGGAAATAAATCCACACTCCCTCTTAAACTGGGTTGTGAATGTCAAACATTTCAAGCTTGCTAATTAATTTTTCAAAAACAGTTCTCGGTAGAGCTTTTGTAAGAATGTCAGCAGTTTGGAATTTTGATGGGGCAGTAATGAAGCGTCTGTCTATGTCAATATGCTTAGTTTTGTTGTGATGGACTTGATTTTTCATTGCTAATATCAGCCTGAATGTCACAAAACATTTGTATAGACCCTTCTTTAAATACTCCCAGCTCGCCAAGTAATCTTTTCAGCCACATCCCTTCACATATGCCAAGAGCTAGAGCTCTGAATTCTGCTTCAGCTGGACTTCTAGAAACGACTTAGAAATGACTGACTGTTTCTTACTTCTCCATGTTATTACTAAATTCCCCCAAACATAAAAGTAGTAACCTGGAGTACTCCTTCTATCAGTTACATCCTGCCCAATCTGTTTCCGTGTAGACTCTAATATCTTTATTGTCATTCTTCCTAAAAAGAAGACCTTTTCCTGGAGTTATCTTGAGGTATCTAAGGATTCTTGTAACAACTTCCATGTGCTCCTCAGTTGGATTATTCATGTATTGGCTTACGACACTTTACATGGAAACCAATATCAGGTTTAGTGTGAGATAAATATATAAGTCATCCCATTAGCCTTTGATCAGGTGGATATTGCTCAACTCTAGGTGTATGAAGCACGAAAACTCTCGGGAAAGAGTACGTTTCTGTTTTGGGAACTCTTCAGAAACTCTGTGAAAAGTTGATGTTTCCCGTTTCTCGCAAAAGTTTGACCCATGGTCAAACATGCATGATTGACCGAGTTCGATCGGGTTCTACCAGGTTTGACTGTTCATTCTACTATGTTTGATCGAGTTTGACCGGGATTGTATTGATCAGGTTCTACCCCGGTTTTCCAAAATTGAGTGTTGGTTCTACTATGTTTAACCGAGTTCGACCTGGGTTGTATATATTGATGGGTTCAACCGAGTTTAACCCTCTTTTTCGATGTTCAAATTAAAAAATTTACACACAAATTCACACCACAATATTTAAACAACACACATACTATTAGTATAATTTAAAATGTCATATAACAAAAGAGTTCATACAAAACAAGTTTATTTAGATAAATCTAAGGTTGACTGAAATTCTAAACAAATATCAAATGCCATCTTGAGCCTAAGCAGCCTAATGTCTTCCGCAATAATCCCATGAAGGCAGGTATAATGCTTTAGACCGTACATTCCACGGTCACTTAAAGTCTGTTGAGATGCAATGAGTCGTGTAAAATCCCATATTGGTTTTTCTCTGGTGTGTGAGATCCCAAACCACTAACTCGTGCAAGTATAGGAAACATATTCCACAAGTGCATTAATGACTCTCCCAATATATGATTGTTGCAATGCACATTTAATATGACTTACTTTTACACCTTCTACAATCTCCCGGGCTTCCTGATTATTCAAGTTCTTCTTTATCTCTTTCGGCTTCCAAAGACAAATGCGGGGAGAGACCGGAGTAGTTTGCTTTTTCTTGAAAGCAAAATTTTAAGCAAAGTCCGGTACACACTCCAACAACAAGATCTAACAAGATATATTCAAATAATAATTAATTTAACAAATACAAAAAATAAATTTTTTAATTTAATAGTCATAAATAAAAGCATCTCACCAATATCGGAGCTACGAAACCTGTATAACATAATGTTGGAGTCACCTCTTGATGCATAATCTCATCCATCTTTTTTTTAAAATTCCTCTTCAACTGCTTAAGAGACACCATAAATGCCCATGTACCCCATGGAAAGTTTAGATAGTAGCTACTGACTTGTGCAATGATCCAATCAGGAAAGGAAGTGTTTCTCTTGACAGGGGCTATAAGAACCATCACTATAAACACAAGCGATGTCATTCTTATCACTTCAGACTGTGCTTCATCTTTTTTAGCTTTATCATGATGATTTAAATGATTGCAAAGTAACTAACTTTATCTCGACTTCCATCACGAAGAACAGAAGGCCGGTGGGTATCAATAAAATTTGCCCTATCATCCTCATCATAATCATTCTCAAAATTGTCTTTGTTCAGAGCAGTGCGGTTCAACCCACTAATTAAAACAAACTCCTTTAGAGAGTAACGAATTGGAACCCCCTTCGTCACAAACCACACCTCAGAAAGGCCACATAAGGATGGATGTAGGGACATATTGCACGTCTAAGTACTTGTCAAATATAGTGGACCTAAATTGATTCAATATGTCGGGATGATCACCTAACCAACACTTCATTTGTGCTTGAAACTTTCTCAATGAACTTTTTATTGTAATTTTCATGTTTGGGAAGAGTGTAATGTCAAACATCAGAGATATGGATGGAACCTGAACAAAATAATCATAAATACATGTTCTAATAATTGTCAAACATGGTCGAACACAGTCAAACAAGGTAGAACAAGGTCAAACTAGTCAAACACAGTAAAACACGGTAGAACAAGGTAAAAACAAAAAGAATAGGGTAGAACAAGGTCAACCACATTTATATTCAGTAAAAAACCGAATCAAACTCGTTCAAACACGGTCAAACAAATTCAAAATAAGAACAAAAAAGAATTGATGAGACTGGATGAATTAGTAATTACCTTAATTTATTTGTTTAGAGAAAGAACATTCAACTTTTGAGGATCTTCTACAACAACCTTATCTCGTTGAATTTCTCTACTCTGCTTTGAGTCCGACTTCTTCAGAAGATTTTTAGCAGAGCTAATTTCTCCCAATTTCACCGGCCCAAGCTTACGTTTAGGCTTATCTTCTTCAATCATTGGAATTGTAGGGTTCTTGATCTTCATGACGCCTGAAGTGGTACGGTTGCAGCTAAGGTTGAAGGAGGAGCATTTTAAAATGATTGAAAGATGGAAGGAGGAGTGGCACGATTGGCATTAAGGTTCCAAGAGAAGTGCAATGAAGAGAGTTTGAACCAGTTTGACCTTGTTCTACCTGTGAGGAAGAGTGGAAGACAGAATGAACGAGAAAGACAGAATGAAGAGAGTCGTGCATTCGGTATCTTTGGAGGAGTTTGAAAGAAGTATTCAAACTCCAGATTTTAGTAAAAATTATTTAGTAATTTCACAAATTTCTTTTATTTAAAATAGAAAAGGGGGCATTTTGATAATATGGGTACAAGAAGAGGGTATTCCGAGAAGGCAAACAGAAAGTCGGAAACATCATAGCCCATCGCGGTGATATTTTCTTTCTCTTTTATATCCTCGTAGTTGATTTGGATATTTTTTCAAGCTCGACTGCGATATTCAATTCTCTTTTCTGATTCTTCTCTCAATATCTCTTCTATTGTTCCCTCAGACTTGTCGACTAATTCTATAGTCTTCATCTACTTCTTCCGAAATATGTGACTTTAAAGGAGCCTGTCAGAATTGACGATTGACGATTTTAGAGGTGATTTAACTGTTGATTCATCTTTTATTATAGAACTTAGATTTGCATTCAGCTACGAGTGTAGGCAAATGTGTTGATTTTGAAAAGAGCTATTTAAACTAGAACCTTCTAGTTTCGATGAGTTGACAATTGTGTTTTGTGATTGTTGATGTATTACTTCGGCAATTAATTAAAATTGATGCAGTGCGTCAATACGTTTAATTGTGTGAGGAACTTAGATTACAACATGTCAATAACCAGATTCAACACTGCTCTTTCTAAATACTACGTACTACGTATTTAAGTATCTATTTTTTGTATTACAGGTTGTCGATTACAAATTGCTGGCTGTCAAAGTGTCTGCTTCTAAATAAGTTGAGGTTTTTTCTTCAGTTTTCTCATCAAATTTTACTGACTACACCAGTGGCTGTAGCTTTAGTGGAGAGGAGCTTTTTGAGTTAAATTATTGAAGACAAATTAGAATCTTCAATGTCTCAACAAAGATTGAGCTTGACTCAATCATTGATGATTTTGCATTTAAGAACGGTTGAATAAATTGTTTTTTGTAGTTTTATCTGTATGAAATACATAAAAGTTGTTTTTGAGCTTTTTATTATGTCCCAGGTCTACAAAATGTCAAGACTGGGCCTGCCTATCATGGTTGACATATTTTACTACTATTTGAAATGAATTGACAACGAATTTGCATTCAAGGGACTCGAAGAGGATTTCAAATTAGGTAATATCTTTTTTAGTGAACTTGTAGTTCTATCAAGTTTTATATCAACATTTTTTACATTTATCAAATATTCCATATTGAATATTTGTTTGTCATACTGAAAGTCTTACACAATATGTAAATGTACATTCACAAAGGAAATCATAACAATTTATAAAAGAATTATCAATTTATATTCTATCATTAGGTCGTTTTGCGAAAACGGTGTATATCGTAATTATTTATTCCCCAATGGTCAACATTTCAAATATTAGAAAACACTAACAAACAATTATAAGTATTCATATAGACTATACATAGAAGAATAAATATAATCTTATTTGTTATATAAATAAATAGATGTGTTTGAAATTATTATTTTTATACGTTGTTCATGCCATGGCATCATGCATACCAGAATCCCAAACTGCAATTAAGGTTTTTTTCAATATTTATACACTGTCTTATACCATGAATTAATATTTCTGATTAAGCTGTATTTTGTATGCACAACTCACCCATCATAATTACCCACTCAAACACACATACTCATTTTATTTTTGTTTTATGCATATTAAGGTATTGCCCTTACCAAGGTTTCTTAGTTCTGATAGATGTATGGTAGCTGGTTGTTTATTCCAAACTCCTGTTGTTTTTCAAAGGAAATAAAATATATAAATATAGCTTTTTGTTATTGTATGAAAATAACTAATTTTGAAACTGCCTTTTTGTTTCGTAATTTTTTTCTAGAAGCATATACTATGATTTTGTGGCTATGCATCATTAATTCATTATATATGACCTCAATAGAATTTACACTGTCCTTGTAGCAGATTTCTTTAACATCATTGGGATGCTTAGAAATCTACGTTTGTGGAATTAGCGCTCACACACATGGTTTTCAACCGGTTTGTCCTACATTCATAATGTTACTATTAAAAGGAATGGAAATATCTGTTTTTGCAAACATTTTGTTGTTTTATGGAAAATATATTTCTGAATGCACACCCTAATCTTTAAAAATTGATTTGCATCGGTGCACGGGAGTTTTTGAAGAGTTCATCATCATCTCAATTTTACAACTATTTTTTGTGTCTTTACCTTGCACCTTGGAAAACAGTCCACACTCGAGAAATTCATACCACATTAAATAATTTTGTCTTTTAGGTTGCAACATTTGCCATGTCTAGAAGCACCTGAAGAATGGATAGAGCGAGTACATTCACAGCAGTACTTCCAAGACGTAATGAAGTGTGAAGTCAGCAATCGGGAAACAAAGAATTTACTTGAGAAGTATAATAATGTAGATTCTCATGACATGTACTTAAGCCGAGGTTCTCGTGAAGCCATGCTCAATGCAGCGGGTGGTGTTGTAACGGTAAGTAATGAACTCTTTGCTTGAATAAAAAAAATTGCAGATGTTGTACATGAACTTTCAGCATAATCCTATTTTTGTGCAGTTTTTACCACATTCTTCCTTTGTTCTTGAATAAATGCAACACAATCCTTTTTTGACAGTTTCAAAATAATTACAACATTCCATTTCTGGTAAGAAAAAGATGGTACAAGGACTCCAATATCTTTACCCACACCATTTAATATTCATCTTAATTGTTTAACCATCAGTATCCTGCCAACTAATGTCCTCACCCACTCATAATAAAAAATTATTTGAGTATGCTTCTTCTCTCCAACTTTCACCTTATA